TACATTGGGGTTCCGCTACTGGAAACCCATTACGTGCAATATGAATACTTTTCTGCACGTGCACCACATTTCCTCTCCTCAGACGCAAAAGCGAAAGGTGAAAAAAAACATTGAAGAAAATTTACAAACTTCAAATCAAGATTTACAGAAGAGTAAAGAGATCTTGACTGAAAGCTATCATGACTGCAGGAATTCATATTGTTTGGGTCTTTCGGTAAAGTCACGTAGATAGGTTGAAATAAAATGTTATATTTCAACCTATCTACGTGACTTTTTATTTCAACCTATCTACGTGGCTTTACCGAAAGACCCAAACAATAAGAGTGAAGAGCTTTGCGAAAGCGACGCCGCTGCATTCGCTCTCAGCCCAGCTGCAGACTGTCGGGCTACACTGTACACACACACACGGCGGTGGTGCAAAGCAGCGCATGACATGCGCAGACTTGTCGCCAATCGATAGCAGTCGTAGTTACAAAAAAATCCGCAGACTACCTGCTGGATCTCCTCTCTGTTTCAAAGAACAAATTTCACCTCAGGTCTTTGCTCATTTACCAGCTTCACATCCCCTATTGCCATACAAAAAATGGAGGAAGGGCCTTTGCTATTGATGCCCCCAGGGTCTGGAATGCTATTGCCAATAAACTGCAACTTGAATCACTACCTATGAGATATTCTCTCAAAACTGCTCTAGAGGAGTTGTACACCCCTAGCTGCAACTGCTATTCATTGGCGTAAAATAAAATGTTTCGCTCCGGATGACCGCTGCAAAGTATTAACTATATTTTGATTTAGTGTGCTGATCTTAAAGGTGCGTTGAAAAATGTGATACTCCGACTGATGCTTCTGCTGTTGTGGAGTGACTCATGCAACCAGCTATGGCTCTAGGGTTTGGTGTTACATGTTACTTATGTAGTTTATTGTAAAAAAATTCGGTCACAGTCCCTATGATCACTGTTACATTGGATTTATGGCTTTATTTTGGTGATTTCGAAAAGTTTTTTGGTTTGGCCATGTTTTTGTTCATTGGAGTACGGAGTTAGACTGATGGCCTTAATCTAAGTTTTCTTGTGGTTGTTGTTGTTGTTTGACTTGCATCCCACTGGGATTTTTGCACACAGCGTTGGTGTACGGTGCTATTTCAGGAATATTTTAATGTTTTTCTCCTCGATTTTGTTTGCACAGTCACATAGTCACTTTAAGATGTTTTCTAGTTCATGTTTTTGTTTTTTGTTTGTTGCGGTTGCACCCGATTCAAGAGCCGAATGGCTCACAGGGCTATACCAAATAAATAGAACGATGAACTATGAACTATGAGGTGGTCGTAGATACGAGTTGTGTTCTTTACCATGGGGGTCCTAATTACGATAAGAAACGTTGTAGGAGCTTGGGGTCGCAAGTCGAGCCGTCGTAAGTCGGTGGTCACCTGAACAACTCAAAAATAAGTGAACATCTCGTACCTTCAATAGCGATCACAAAAACCCTCCACGTCACAGCACCGCTTCCCAATTCCCCTGTTGGTGGGACTAAGCACCAGTGTTGATCATCTAGATGCAATGATTACACTGTGTAACACATGTTCTTTCTGTCCCTGGGTAGTAAGTGTTATTTCCTAATTGCTTATGCCTCAAAAGTACAGAAAATGGCTATTATTCCCCACGAAACTTTGCTTTTGTGACCAGGACATTGATATTTTGAAATTTCCTGACTTTTTATTGAGAAAACGTGTGCATTTGTGTCTTTCGTTCACATAAAGTCCTGGTCACAAAAGCAAAATTTGTGGGGAATAATAGCCATTTTCTGTACTTTTGAGGCATAAGCAATTAGGAAATAACACTTACTACCCAGGTACAGAAATCGTGTTACATAGCGCTAGCAGTATTTTATATATTAAAATCAACTTGAATGTCAAAGTCCGTGCTGTGCGCATCTTCATTTCCACCAACAACACAATCGACAGTCAAATAACACTACCGAGTTCCTGTTAGTCGATCGACATTCTAGCAATATCGTTTTAACAGCTGTATATTATTGGAGCTAATGTAACACGCAGCTTAATGTTCGAGCGATGGCCACCATGCTCGACGATTGGAAGTCTATCGTCCACGTGCAGCTCACGACCGTCGAACGGTGATGTTCAGTCGCGCTGCAGCTGGTCTACAGGAGGTCGTGGGTTGGATCCCGACCCTGACAATGCCTGCTACTGTAAACTTGGAGTCTGCGTCTCTTCCTCATCATCATCACGGTGGCTAGGAGAACTTAACTACCTCGCCGGATATACAGGAAGTCGTGGGTTCAATCCCAACCCTGAGGATGCCTGCTGCTGAAGATTTGGAGTTTGCTTCTCTCTCTCCTCGTGGTTGCGTGGATTTTTCTCCAGGTCCTCCGCTTTTTCCCCATCCACATTTGGAATCAAGGTCACGCGTTCCGAGCGATTTGGCTGCTATACATTTCCACGTGATAAGCCACTTGATTGAGCTATCATTTGCGATAACCACATCGCTTATGAGAAAGAGCTACCACGTAGCAGCTCATTGGGGCCTTACCTGGTAAAATAAAAATAGATTAGACGACATATTTCTGACCAAATTCGCGAGCACAAATCAGATTTGAAACACGGCAGAACGAATTCTTCGGCCGTGGCTGATCATTGTTTCAACACAGCGGGTTCTCATGATATTATCTTTTCCGAGTCCAAGGTGCTCTGCAAGGCGTCTGGATACCACCAAGGGTTTGTCCATGAGGCCATCCAGATATACAAACATAGACATAACTTCAACCGAGAAGGTGGATTCAGATTGAGCAATCATTGGAAAGATGTTATTAACCAAGTTAAACCCTAGCTGCCTTAACAGTATATATTCATATCCACATCACCAGTCTTTTACTCCAAGCCTTGCACATCACTCGGAAATTTGAGAAGCAGCTTTCCAATCGTGTCGTACTTTTGTCCGATTCCACTCTCTGCCACTTCCCCCCCCCCCCCCCCACCTGTGGGACTTGAGCTGTATCCACATCTTTGTGAATTACTCCCCCAGTCCACACCCCGCCCCCATACCCACCCTGCCCTCGTTCCCCCCCCCCCCCACCCTCCTCAGCTATATAAACCCGTGTCAGAGCGATCTCGTTGACCTATCTCAGCAACTGTCCTCACTGTGGTTGTCGCCACCTGATGACGGACGCGTAGTTGCGCCCGAAACGTCGTGATTTAATTTAGTTGTTTTCATTTATTTTATTGATTTTTGTTTTTTACCTACGTGACTTTACCGAAATAAACAAAGAGTAAGATTAGTTTATATCAACATCACGCATTTTGAGTTATTTGGCTTCTGTTATAATGTCCACGTGATGACGATGATAAGCCACTTCGTTGAGCAATATAAAATACCATATATTGCGGGAGTAATTGACGAATTAGCTAGAGTTTAGGAAAAACAAAAAAATCAGAATAAGATTTGTCACGGCGCACAATTCAAAAACTAGTCTCGCTCTAAATCCGAACGCTGCGAGATGGCCCTGCCGCACTCGGGGCAAGCGTGCGGCCTCTCGCCCTCCACCCCCACCACAACAGAGAAATTAAAAGTGTGTAGTTAAGAAAAATGTAAGGAATCGGAAATAAAGTAAGACCTAACAAAATGGCTTGACGACAACATCATAAGAGGTTGGTACAACAAAGACGTGGCTCTACTTGAGTATATTGGCACTACAAGAAAAAGGAAAGTAGAAACAAATGACGAAATGTGCAGTGGACACCAACTACTGCGGGGCTATCTGCCAGTGGATCGTGATGATGATGCACTGCACTATACACTGCGATATACACGACACTTACAATCCACTACAAACGACTATACACTACACTATACACTGCTATAGTGTGCACTACTTGAGTATATTGGCACTACAAGACAGATGAAACTGGAAACAAATTACAAAATGTGCACTGGATACCAACGACTACGGGGCTATCTTCACATAGATTGTGATGCTGATGATGATGAACCCGCTCACGATGGGCAAGGTTTTGGTGTATTGAGAATCGGTGTTCACAACGCGAGCATCCCTTTTGGCTTCTGCGACAGATGCAGCTTTGTATTGCACACAAACCCAGAGGCGCCTGCACTCCGACGTTTCAAACAAACACCACGAGGTCGGTTCTTCTTTAAGGGTTTTTTTCGTACGATGGCGTTTGGTAAGAATCGCAGACGTTGCGATCTCAGCGAGAGAACAACAAAAACACCAGTACAATAAAAGAGTTTCGGAGTGTACTTTAATCACATTCAGGAATACACTTTACAGATTACAGAATCGTCACTTCACAAACCTTAACGGCAGCGATTTGTCAACTTTGTTATGGAGGTGAGTAGTTGCTCCGGTGTAAGTGGACTTATTGAATCTCACTTTAACAGAAAAATACTTTAATGAAAAAATCATAAATATGCCTCTTTGGCACCCTTTTTGTCAGTGCAGTGAAGGACTCCAAAGGATGAAGTTTATTGTCCTTAACAACAACAACATCCAGTGCCTACCACCAGCCAACTCCATTCCCTTGTTTCTCTCTCCCGAGCGCCCCTCGTTCCCCCCTCCCTCTACCTATCCCCCTCTCCAATCCTAGCCCATGCTGTCCTTCTAACCAATCTCTCTGCTGCCCTTCGAACAGTCCCCAACGGATCCTCCCTCATTGACTCTTTCAAATATTCCCGCCTTCCCCCTCTTTCAAACCTTACAACCAATAACCATCTAGAAGGCCACATCCTCGCTATCCTTATGCAGTAGCGCCTCCTCGTGGCAGTTACGGTGTTTATGATATCCCCATGTCTTACGAAAACGCTATCCAAGGATGTCTTAACATCCTTACACCATATCCTTTGGGTCTTTCTGTAAAGTCACGGAGGTCGGTTAAAAAAATAGAAAAAACTTCGACGTTTCGATTGCAACACAAGTGATCATCATCATCTTCACTTGATGACGATCGCTTGTGTTGCGATCGAAACGTCCTAGTTTTTGTCATTTTTTTTACCGAAAGACCCAAAGAATATGAATTCCTGCAGTCACGAAAGCTTTAAGTCAAGATTTATCCTTACACCAGTAGATCCCATATATATAACTGCTTAACCAGAGCTGTTAATCATTTTAGGTTTTGCATTGTCCTTGTACTGTCCTCCTCTTGGCAGCCTCTAGTCTAACACTGGTGGTGAAACAAAGCCACGAAGGAGCCGATCTCTGGTGTAGTCTAATCAGTTTCAAGGATACTGCATACACTATCAAAGCATGTTTGAATGTTGTACCACAAGTCTGTGACGTGAATGCAGACTTTATGCCCTGTTATAAAATATGTCTTAAATTTTACGCCAGAAAAGCGTGAAGCTTTTTTAAATAATTCAAATTAAAAAATTTATTCATAAAGGGTTATTTTTTTTCATCCCAAAATCAAATAGTAATTGATAAATGATGCTCGCCTTCAGAGAAGTATGCATTTAGATTCATAGCACCATAATTCTACCTGCAAACGCCCCTTGTTGCGCTCTCGAGTCTGATTCACTCGGGCGACAGGAGAAAGCCAGAAAAGGAGCTGTCTATATCATTGCGCACGAAGATTCCATTGTAGGTACCCGTCACCTCCAACCAGACCTGATTCCCCGCCTTGAGACTCAGCACGGCACCACCACTCAGGGCCACTCCAGGCCAGCCAGGCACCCAAGCGCTGTGGAACTTGTGCATCACCTGCCCGTTTTTCTTCAGGTGCGCGTACACGCTCTCCCCGAACAAGCACACGTGCATCACGAAGTAGTAGGTGCCCGGGTAGACGCACGTGAACTTTCCCGTGCTCGGATCGTAGTGGTTCCCGCTGTTGGTGAGCATCACGTCGAACTTTATGGGAATTCCTGACGCAGGTCTGGGCATCGACAGCTTGGCTGTGAAGGCGGACTTGGGCATCTTGGCGTAGCCGCCCTGGTCTGTAGTAGCAGTTACATTGGGGAAACAAAACGACATGTCTCGGACCGTGTTCGCGAACACAAGGCAGATTTGAAACACGGCAGAACGAAAACCTCTTTCGTGGCTGACCATTGCTATGACGCATTAGGCTCGCATGACATTGTTTTTTTCCGAGTCCCAGGTACTCTGCATACCTTCGGGCTACCATTAAAGATTTGTCCATGAAGCCATTAAGATATATAAACACAGAGATGGGTATAAGCTGAGCAACCATTGGAAGGACGTTATTCACCTGGTTAGTCACAACTTCTAGATTTAAAGCTTTCGTGACTGCAAGGATCCATTTTCTTTGGTTCTATTCGGTAAAGTCACATAAAAAAATTCACGACGTTCCAGCCACAACACAAGTGGCCTTCATCAGGTGAAGGCCACTTGTGTTGTGGCCGAAACGTCGTGAATTTTTTTTATTTTTTGTTTTTTTACGTGACTTTACCGAATAGAACCAAAGAGCATAGTCATAACTTGCTGTGATGCTTCCACCTTGCCTACCGTTTGGCTGTTACCCTCCGACTTTCTGATTTGCATTGACCTGTTTGATGCCTTTGCATTAACGGGCTGAGGTATCACTTACATGGCCTCCCTTAGCCTCGATGTATCGATGGCCCTTTATATCCTACAGGCTGTGTGTCTCACTGGCGCGGCTACTCTCTGAGCCGTTCTCTCTCTCTCTCTGAGTCGTTCTGTCTCTCTCTCTGAGTCGTTCTCATTAACTTTGACTTGCTAATCTCTCCCCTAATCTCTCTCCCTATATTCTCCACATTAACTCAACAAATATAACCCCGTGTCTGTGGCAGCTCTCCCACTATTTTTGCCTGAGGACTTCCGCATGTATTGCGGCCGAAACATCGTGATTCATTTTATTTTCTACCTACGTGGCTTTACCTAAAGAACCAGAGAGTATGGATTCCTGTAGTCACGAAAGCTTCAAATCAAGATTTTAAAAAGAATGTGCAGTCAAGAGCTCAGAGTACACAGATCCGCTCATACACGCCCCCCCCCACCCCCCAGATTCACGCTTACTTTTTGTGACTCGTTAAATCGCCCCCCACCCCTGCCATCACGTGAGCCATGGATTTGACGGCGTGTAGCCATCGCCCACGAAAGAAAAGAGTCCCAAAAAATGGTGTTAGATCTGACCTGAATGCTACCGATGATTAGTGAATCATTTACTGTACAGTCCTGTCATTCATTAAACATTTATATACACTCGTACATTGTGTATATAGACTCATAGTAATATAGTAGCATATAGTCGTTTATAGTAATATAGTAGTACATAGTAATACAGTAGTGTATAGTAATGTAGTATAGTGTAATAGAGTAGTGTATAATAATATAGTAGTACACTTTTGGCGTCCTCTGGTCTAACACCGTTTGAGACAATGCTCTCAAAATAAAGCTGTCTCTGGTGTGGACCAATCAGTTTCAAAGACAATGCATCATACTTTCAGAGCATTTTTTTTTGTGGTTAATGCAGACATGATTCCATGTAAAAAGGTTTCAGTTTGGTGTTTTAACATCTTAACACAGCTGTTTTGTTGCCAGACAAAGGGAAAACCCTCTTCTCATATAGTAGTATATAGTAATTTTGTAGTGTAGTCTAGTAGCCTATAGTAATTTCGTAATGTAGTATAGTAGTGTATAGTAAGATAGTAGTCTAGTACGGTAGTGTATAGTAATATATTAGTATAATGTAGTAGTAGTATATAGTAATATGGTAGTGTAGTATAGTAGTCTATAGTAATTTAGTAGTGTAGCAGAGTATTGCATAGTAATATGGTAGTGTAGTATGGTAGTGTATAGTAATATAGCAGTATAGTGTAGTAGTAGTATATAGTAATATGGTAGTGTATAGTAAAGTAGTAGTATATAGTAATATGGTAGTATATAGTAATATTGTAGTGTAGTATAGTGGTCTATAGTAATTTAGTAGTGTAGCATAGCATTGTATAGTAATATGGTAGTGTAGTATGGTAGTGTATAGTAATATAGCAGTATAGTGTAGAAGTAGTATATAGTAATATGGTAGTGTATAGTAAAGTAGTAGTATATAGTAATATGGTAGTTTATAGTAATGTAGTAGTGTAGTATGGTAGTGTATAGTAATGTAGTAGTGTAGTATGGTAGTGTATAGTAATATAGTAGTGTAGTATGGTATTGTATAGTAATATAGTAGTATAGTGTAGTAGTATATAGTAATATAATAGTGTATAGTAACATAGCAGTATAGTGTAGTAGTAGTATATAGTAATATGGTAGTGTATAGTAAAGTAGTAATATATAGTAATATGGTAGTATATAGTAATATTGTAGTGTATAGTAAAGTAGTAGTATATAGTAATATAGTAGTGTATAGTAAAGTAGTATATAGTAATATGGTAGTGTATAGTGTAGTAGTAGTATATAGTAATATAGTAGTGTATAGTAAAGTTGTAGTATATCGCAATATATTTATACATTGTATCTACACTCGTATAGGCGTACCCCAACTTACGTCAATTCGCACTTACGCGGTGGTGGGGGGGGGGTACACGGAACCTGACCCCCGCCGCGTACTCTGAGACCTGCCTCTATTGTTGCGGGGTAGCCACCACATCATCGGCTCAGGGGGGCGGTGTGGCAAATCGGTCAGGTAGATGGGGGGCCTCCAATATTTGATATGAATTTAATTAAAATACATTTCTAGACAAGCCGCCCCGCCAATTAAAAAAAAACGTGGGACGTAATCCAAAGGCATTTCCATTTTAAAAACTGTAAACCGCACTTTAAGTGGTTACGTAAGAGCTACGCTTACATATACACAAGCCCAATTCTCGTATAACAATAATATAGCCTCTCGCGTTTCAAATAAGTTGGTCTTCTTCTTTGGTTCTTTCGGTAAAGTCACGTAGAATGAGAAAAAAATAATAAATTGATACAATAAAATAACACAATAATATTCTCACGACGTTTCGGCCACAACACAAGCGGCCTTCATCAGGTGAAGGGACGAGACTGTCTGGAGGACAGCGCTGGAGTGAAAAAGCCACGCTCAGTTCACGACCTTTAAGCTGTGTGAGAAGAAACAAAGCGCCTTGACAAAGGAATTAGCATATAATTTAGCATTAAAATGACTGATTGATTAGCTTGTGACTGGTCACAGAAATGGCTATGTTAAAGTTAAAGCATACACATCCGCAAAGGCACCCCTTGACAAAGGACTTAGCATAGAATTTAGCGTTGAAATAGCTAAGTTAAAGTATACACATCCGCAGAGGCACCCATTGACACAGGAATTAGCATAGAATTTAGCATTGAAATAGCTGAGTGATTAGCTTGTAACTGGTCACAGAAATAGCTATGTTAAAGTCAGAGCATATACATTCACCGAGGCACCTAGTACAAATCAAACAGGAGAATTTAGCATTGAAATAACTAGGCGAATTTAGCATTGAAATAACTGAGTGATTAGCTTGTGACTGGTCACAGAATGGCTATGTTGAAATTCGCCTAGTTATTTCAATGCTAAATTCATGTAGGTAGACAAAATAGTAATAGATCACGACGGTTCTATCGCAACGCAAACAGCACAAGCAATGTGATCTGTTATTTTTATATAATGAATTAGCTTCACTACCCGGCTTCGCCCGAGACTTGGATTCTGAGGCGCGCGCTCCCGGGGCGCTCGGAGCCGAGGGGGGGGGCGACAACGCGAGCAGAGGGAGCCGACACTGACTCAGTCACACATCATGCACTGACTCACTCACACATCATACACTGACTCACTCACACATCATACACTGACTCACTCACACATCATACACTGACTCACTCACACATCATGCACTGACTCACTCACACACCATGCACTGACTCACTCACACATCATGCACTGACTCACTCACACATCATACACTGACTCACTCACACATCATACACTGACTCACTCACACATCATGCACTGACTCACTCACACATCATGCACTGACTCACTCACACATCATGCACTGACTCACTCACACATCAAACACTGACTCACTCACACCATGGACTGACTCCCTCACACATCATGCACTGACTCACTCACACATTATGCACTGACTCACTCACATACCATGCACTGACTCACTCACACACCATGCACTGACTGACTCACACATCATACACTGACTCACTCACACACCATGCACTGACTCACTCACACATCATGCACTGACTCACTCACACATCATACACTGACTCACCCACACATCATGCACTGACTCACTCACATCATACACTGACTCACTCACACATCATACACTCACTCACACATCATGCACTGACTCACTCACATCATACACTGACTCACTCACACCATGGACTGACTCACTCACACCATACACTGACTCACTCACACATCATACACTGACTCACTCACACACCATGCACTGACTCACTCACACATCATGCACTGACTCACTCACACATCATGCACTGACTCACTCACACACCATGCACTAACTCACTCACACATCATGCACTGACTCACTCACACATCATACACTGACTCACTCACACATCATACACTGACTCACACATCATACACTGACTCACTCACACATCATGCACTGACTCACTAACACATCATACACAGACTCACTCACATCATGGACTGACTCACTCACACATTATGCACTGACTCACTCACACATCATACACTGACTCACTCACACATCATGCACTGACTCACTCACACACCATGCACTGACTCACTCACACACCATGCACTGACTCACTCACACATCATACACTGACTCACTCACACATCATGCACTGACTCACTAACACATCATACACAGACTCACTCACATCATGGACTGACTCACTCACACATTATGCACTGACTCACTCACACATCATACACTGACTCACTCACACATCATGCACTGACTCACTCACACACCATGCACTGACTCACTCACACACCATGCACTGACTC